CCCCGCACCCCCCCCCTCGACTCTGCTGGGCACGGTCCTGAAACAAGATGGCCGCCAGGAGAGAAGATGGCCACCAGGAAACAAGATGGCCGCCAGGAGACAAGATGGCCACCAGGAGACAAGATGGCCGCCAGGAGACAAGATGGCCGCCGGGATTTAAGATGGCTGCTGGGAGTCACGGGAGTTGGCGGAGGGCAAGATGGCCGCCGGGTTTGGTGGGCTGCTCGAAGTCAAGATGGCTGCCGGGAAGAAAGATGGCTGCCTGGAGTCATGAGAGTTGGCGAGAGTCAAGATGGCTGCCGGATTTCGCTGTCAGGTTGTAGTCAAGATGGCTGCCTGGTCACATGTTGGTCAGAGTCAAGATGGCCGCCAGGAGGCAAAATGGCTGCCAAGTTTTTGTATCTTTTTGTGGTCAAGATGGCTGCCAGGAGTGAACAAAGTTCGAGGGACTCAAGATGGCCGCCGGGTTTCGCTGTCAGCTGGTGGGCAAGATGGCTGCCAGCAACCAAGATGGCTGCCACGCTTCAGTGTCAGTTCCTAGTCAAGATGGCTGACTGGCCACATGTTGGTCAAAATAAAGATGGCCACCAGGAGGCAAAATGGCTGCCAAGTTTTTGCATCTTCTCGTGGTCAAGATGGCTGCCGGGATTTGCTGTGAACTTGTAGTCAAGATGGCCGCCAGGAGACATGAAAGTTGGATGAGAGTCAAGATGGCCGCCGGGTTTCGCTGTCAGCTGGTGGGCAAGATGGCTGCCAGGAACCAAGATGGCCGCCAGGTTTTGGTGTCAGTTCCTCGTCAAGATGGCTGCCTGGTCATGTGTTTGTCAGAGTCAAGATGGACGCCAGGAGGCAAAATGGCTGAGCAAGATGGCTGCCAGGAACCAAGATGGCTGCCACGCTTCAGTGTCAGGTCCTAGTCAAGATGGCTGCCTGGTCACATGTTGGTCAAAATCAAGATGGCCGCCAGGAGGCAAAATGGCTGCCAAGTTTTTGCATCTTCTCGTGGTCAAGATGGCTGCCAGGATTTGCTGTGAACTTGTAGTCATGATGGCCGCCGGGAATAAAAATGGCTGCCTGGAGTCATGGGAGTTGGCGGGAGCCAAGATGGCCGCCAGGTTTCGCTGTCAGCTGGTGGTCAAGATGGCTGCCAGGAACCAAGATGGCCGCCAGGTTTTGGTGTCAGTTCCTCGTCAAGATGGCTGCCTGGTCATGTGTTTGTCAGAGTCAAGATGGACGCCAGGAGGCAAAATGGCTGCTGGGAGTCACAGAGGTTGCCGAGGATCAAGATGGCCGCCAGTTGAGCTTGAAATCAAGATGGCTGCCGAGTCAGGTGCTGAGCAGTCAAGATGGCTGCCAGGAAGCAAAATGGCCGCCTGGCTTCTGTGTTTGAGGTCAAGATGGCCGCCAGGTCATGTGATGAGTGGATCAAGATGGCCGCCAGGAAGCAAGATGGCCGCCACAGAGTCCCAAGATGGCGGCTGCTGCAGACATTGATTTCAAGATGGCCGCCACTTATGACATCATCAATGGTGACATCATCATTCAAGATGGCCGCCACAGAGTCCCAAGATGGCGGCTGCTGCAGACATTGATTTCAAGATGGCTGCCACTTATGACATCATCATTCAAGATGGCCGCCTGTGCTGTCACCAAATCCAAGATGGCCACAGGAAGTGACATCACAGACACGTGAGGTCAGCCATCTTGGATTCACCATGGCGGCCATCTTGGGGTCATTGAAAGGTCACCCTGGTGGCCATCTTGGAACTGCCCCGGAGGCCATTTTGTGACCCCGCCCCATTTCATGGCAGCCATCTTGGGGTCAACCAAAGGTCACTGTGTCGGCCATATTGGGGTCAATCAAAGGTCACCAGGTCGGCCATATTGGAAGATCAGGGGTGCCCCTGTCCGCCATATTGGGGCTCCCCCGTCAGCCATCTTGGAGTCAATCGGAGGTCAATTTGTCGGCCATATTGGCACAATTTTGTCGGCCATATTGGAACCACCCTGTCAGCCATTTTGGGGTCAACTAAAGGTCACACTGTCAGCCATTTTGGGGTCAACTAAAGGTCACCCCGTCAGCCATATTGAAGTCTACCGAAAGCGACCATGTCAGCCATATTGGAATTACCCATATATCACGTGACCACATCCAGGCCGCCGTCGGCCATTTTGTGTAGCGCCATGGTCGGCCATTTTGTATTTTACCGTTCGCCATTTTGCATCCCACCATTGTCAGCCATTTTGAATTTCACCATAGTCTGCCATTTTGTATCCCAACAATGTCGGCCATTTTGTGTTGCGTTATCATCAGCCATTTTATATTTCACCATCATCGGCCATTTTGTATTTCTCCATCGTCCACCATTTTGTATTTCACTGTCGTTGGCCATTTTGTATCCCACCGTCGTCGGCCATTTTCTGTTGCACCATTGTCAGCCATTTTGTGTCGCATATCGTCGGCCATTTTGTATCCCACCATTGTCGGCCATTTTCTGTTGCGCCATTGTCAGCCATTTTGTGCCCCATCATCGTCAGCCATCTTGTATCCCACCACTGTCGGCCATTTTGTGTCGAATATCATCGTCCATTTCATATTTCACCATCGTCGGTCATTTTGTGTTGAGCCATCGTCAGCCATTTTGTGTCGCATATCGTCGGCCATTTTGTATCCACCATCGTCAGCCATTTTGTATTTCACCATTGTCGGCCATTTTGTGTTGCATATCGTCAGCCATTTTGTATCCCACCATTATCGACCAATTCCTATCCCACCATCGTCGGCCATTTTGCATTTCACTATCGTCAGCCATTTTGTGTCACGCCGTCGTCAGCCATTTTGTATTTCACCATTGTCGGCCATTTTGTGTCGCATATCGTCGGCCATTTTGTATTTGTATCCCACCATTGTCAACCAATTCCTACCCCACCATCGTCGGCCATTTTGTGTCCCACCATCGACGGCCATTTTGCATTTCACTATCGTCAGCCATTTTGTGTCACGCCGTCGTCAGCCATTTTGTATTTCACCATCGTCAGCCATTTTGTGTCCCACCATCGACGGCCATTTTGCATTTCACTATCGTCAGCCATTTTGTGTCACGCCGCCGTCAGCCATTTTGTATTTCACCATCGTCGGCCATTTTGCATCCCACCATCGCCGGCCATCATCCCCGTTTCCCGCCGCCGCCGCCATCTTGCCGCGCTTGTCACGTCTTGGCCTTCCTCCCCCTCAGCGCCGCCCCCGCCCCGGGG